AAGCGCCTCTGGGTATTGTGGGAATTGTAGTTTCAGAAGCGGGGCGTGCGGCGTCGGGGAGCGTGGGTCGTCAGGAGTGGGGGTGTCATGGCAGATCTAAAGGCGGAAGCAGGCGTCGTGTACTCCCTCCCCTGCGGGGTACAATGTGGCTCGTGGAGAACTGTCGTCCTGACTCTAGGGTGCATAAAAAACACCTAGAAGCCTTGATAAAACACTCAGATGTTCTGACTCTGCAGATTTGGGGTGGGGCCCATTTATCTACATTTCCTACGGTTCCGAGGTAGTGCTGATTCTACTGCTTCATGGACCGCGTTTTGAATGGCGAGACTAGATAATTGGTGGGAATCTATTCCTTCCCGGGGGCAGAGGCTAGTGAGAGGTCTATGATTGCTGGAGGGGGTATCCGAGGTGGAGAGCAAAGCTCCCCCCACAGACCTTGAGCTCCCAGGGATGGATGAGTTAGGACTAGGGACCTTAGGACACCCCTCTCCCCTCAGATAGGAAGAGGGGAGTTGGGAAAGGGTTGAGAATTAATTAATTATTAATTTATTTTTTAATTTATTGAGGGCGGGGAGGGGCCGAGGGAGAGAGAGAATCTCAAGCAGGCTCCACGCCCAATGCAGAGCCCAATGTGGGGCTCCACCTCAGGACCCGGAGATCATGACCTGAGCTGAAATCAAGAATCAGATGCTTAACTGCCTGGGCCACCCAGGTGCCCCCAGGTTTGAGAATTTTTGAAAGAGGGAGTTGTTATAACTGAAAGAGCCGGGATTCTGGAGTCAGAGATGAAAATCTAGGCTGTGATGACCTCCCCGAACCTCAGTGTCCTCATCGGGACTGTGGATATCCTGATTGTACCACACTCACTCATGGGGTAATGATGATTCGGTTAAATGGTCCACGTACAGGGCTCAGAAGAGTCTTGATACTTGATACTCTTCAATAAATGGTAGTCGATATTATTGCCACCATAATATCATGAATGTTGTGATTATATCTAGAGTTAAAAAATTCTAAAAAAATTATTTTAAGTAATCTGCATACCCAATGTGGGGCTCGAACTCACAGCCCTGAGATCAAGAGTCCCATGTTCTGCCAACTGAGCCAGCCAGGTGCCCCTTGCCTTCCCAAACTTAACAGTAACATTAGGAGCTGCTGGCCCCTTGGATGTCCCAAGGCGTGGCTGGCGTCAGAGCCACGGGCCTTTCTTTTCCCTAGTTCCCACAGTCATGGCTCTCTCTCAGTTTTCACCCCTGCCCCTGAGTGAGTTGTGGGTAAGTGGCCAGAGTTCTAAAGGGGTGCACCAGAAGAGCCTCAAGGAATCTATCAGGAAGCCTGGGCTCCCTTATATGGACTGGAGTTTCAGGGCTGGGTGGGACTGAAGAGTACCCAGGTAGAATATCCAGGTGACTCTTAACCCCAGCTGTCTTCTGAGACTCCCCTCCCTTTTGGTTTGGGCTTTGAGGCCTGCTGGAGGGCATTTCCATGGGGTGGGGGAGACAGCCCCTGCCAAAGGGGCTGGTAGAGCAGTAGGCAGGGAGGCCCCCTGTGTGGGGAAGGTCCCAAGCTGAAGCTAAATGAGCCATACTTTGAAGATCAGATTGGCTTGTTACTGTTTATTTCCCCTTTGTCAGCCCCTGGCCTTTAGTAGAAGCTTGTTCAGGCTTCCCACTTGGGTCTAGCTAGTTTCAGGAAATCAAAGGAGGACTGTGAGTGCACAATTAGCCCAGAGCGTTAATGGGGGAGCAGCAGCTGAGTTCAAAGCGAGGGGGGCAGCAGAGGTGAGCAGAAGAGGCCCCGAGAGGGAGATGAATCTTGGGGAGCAGAGAGTGGGAGGCCTCCTCCCACAGCCGACCTTGGGGAATTTGGGTTTGGCTTTTGTTAGGAGAGCCGGTTGGGTTTCTTTATAGGAGGTGTCGAGCAGTGTGGGCTCTGGACAGTCGTGTCCAGAGCAAGGATATTGCGGGGGGGCAGCCCTCTGAGTGGGGTGTGGGGGGCTTTGAATCAGGGGACTTCAGGAGATGGGGCCTTGGCACAGGGGTAATGCGGGAGAGGAGCCCCTTGAAAAAGGGATTGTGGGAGAGATGGGAGGGTCCTTGAGGCAGGGGGATGGTGGGAGATGGCAGGGAGAGGGCGCCTAAGGCAGGTGGGCCCTGAATTAGGGGGATGGTGGGAGAGAAGGGGGCCCCTGAAAAGACTGTGGGAGATGGGCCCTGGCCCTGTGCTCCCTCCAGTCTGAGGCCTCCTTCCTGCCTCTTGGATCCCCGGAGGAAGTGGAGCTGGGAACTTAGGAGGACCTCAGCACAGACAGTCAGAAACCAGGCTTATATCCCTGCTGTGTGACTTTAAGGAAGTCCCTGACCTGGGCCTCAGCTGTCTATGTGAGGACAGGTTGCTCCGACTAGGCCAAACGGGGCGTTCCTGTGAAAGCTTTCGTAAGCCAAAATGGTGTAAAGTGAAGAGTATCCCCCACTTTCCAGAAGTTCATGCGATGCCACTTCGCTTTTACGAAAGACCTACATTAGCACCCATTTTCGCTAAATGAAAGAAATCCAAAGAGGCTTTTCACTTTTCCGAAAAAGACCATTGTGCGCTAACGTGGGTCAATGTAATCGTCAGGTGCGGCGGGCGTGTGCAGACACTCACACTCACTGACTCTCTGGGCTCGATCAGGAAGTCGGCCTCAAGCCAAGGGGTACTGCAGCCCACGCGGGATGTTGGAAGTCAAAGATTAACGATACCGGGTGGGAATGCAGAATGACCCCAGAGCTCTGGAAAGAGTGTGGCTCTTTCTACTACAGCTAAACATAGTCTGTGCCACGATCAGCAGTCCCTCTCCTAAGCATGAGCCCAACAAAGATGCACACGTGTCGTCACAAGACACTGTTAGAACGGTCCTATTTCGAGCAGCTCCCAAAACAACCGATACACGGGACAACGCGGGTGACTTTCACAGGTGCGCCGAGGACCAGACGCCAGACACCCGAGACAACATGCTTGTAAGATTTCATTTATACCAAGTCCAAGAACAGGTGCAACTAAAGGATGACAGAAATCCGAGCAGCCTCTGGTGGGGGAGGGGCGCTGACTGGAGAGGGGCACGAAGGAACTTTCTGGAACTTTCTGGGGGAAATGTTCTGTACCTTGATCTGGGTGGTAGTTATGCAATGTAAAGAAAATTTTTTTCAAGTAGGCTCCACGCCCAGAGTGGAGCTCAATGCAGGGCTCAAACTCCTGACCCCAAGATAAAGACCTGAGCTGAGATCAAGAGTCCGATGCTTGACCGACTGAGCCACCCAGGCACCCCGCGATGTCGTTTTAAGGTTTTTGGACTTCACGTGAAAGTTTATCTCAATAAAAAGAGCGAGAGAAGAGCACAGTACTTAAGAGGTTGCACAGCTGAGGTTCAGATCCCAGATTTGTCACCTCTCAGCTGTGTGGCCTTGAGCAGGTCACTTTCCCTCTTTGTGCCTCACACCTTGTAAGGAATGAATGAGCTGAAGCACGAGAGGGCAGAGCAGAGTGGGCGCTCAGTGAATCACCATCATCACCATCATCGTTGTCACCCGCATTGTCCCCCCTTTCCCCTTCCTCCTCCAATAGGAGAGGACTCTCAGTCTGACCCCCTTCCTCTCCCCTGTTCTGACCCCATAATCCCCCTGCCTGGTTGTTTGAAGCTGCTCTCGCTGTAATCTCCGTTGGGTCTAAAACCCCATGACTCGGTGACTCCGTGATTCCATGGCTCCTGGGGTTATGTGGATCACCCGGCCACGGGAGCCAGCACCAGGGACACCACCCGCTCCCACCCCTGGGGCCAGAAAGCAAGCACAATACACACACACACACTTCTCTCCCCCCACTGATATATTTGATAATTGTCCAGAACCAGAGATGGCATCAGCCGGGGGCGGGGGAGTAAAAAAGAGCCCAGGGAGGGGGTGCAGAGGGGGCAGGGAGGAAAGGGTGAGGAGAGGGAGAGGAACAGTGACACAGAAAAGAGAGAGGGGGAGAGAGGGGTCGGGGGGTGGGGTGGAGAGAGCAGCCAGCCAGAGTGGGGAGGGGGGGAGGCAGGAGATAAATTGAGGGGGTAGGGGCCAAGGTGGGGCCACGGGGAGAGAGGGCCCCTCCCCCAGAATACAAAATGGGAGGACTGGTGGGGGCTGTCCTGGGCTTGGGGGGCAGGGAAGAGACGGGCGATGTGGGGGGGTGAGGTCAGTAGTAGGTTTCCTTCTCCACCCAACCTGGAGACAAAGAGAGAGAGACATGGAGAAGGGCATAGGACAGAGACAGAGACAGAGACAGAGAGGAGGGGGACCAGAGAAACCGGAAGGGAGAGGGAGGGATGTGGGGGAGACAGAGAGGTCAGCACAGTGCTCCGCCCCCCCACCCCTCCACCTGCGCCCCTGCCCCCCAGCCTCGCCCTCCACCCGGTGAGCCCCCTCACCCCCCGGGTTCCTGCGCAGGATGAGTTTGCGGATCTCGTCGTAGACGAAGATGAGGAAACTGTAGGGGAAGGCACAGAACCACCAGCTGGGCCTGCAGAGATGGGAGAGCAGGAGGGCGTCGGTGAGGGGTCGTCCCGGGGGACAGAGAGGCTGAGTCTGGAGAACAGGAGGGCCACCCTGGGGTGGATTCTCCCTTGCCCTCTGGCCGGGGCTGCAGGCTGGGGCCCGCTGAGTGCCCCTCTGTGAGGATGTCCACGGGGGAGGGCTCATTGGCATCAAAACAGAGACCGTGGGGCGCCTGGCCGGCTCAGTCGGTGGAGCAGGCGGCTCTGGATCTCAGGGTTGTGAGTCTGAGCCCCACACTGGGTGCAGAGGTTACTTAAAGATAATAAAATCTTTGAGAAAAAAAAAAAGAACAGGGACTGTGATGGGGGGGTCCCCAAAGAGACAGCAGGAGAGGTGGGGCTTGAGATCCACGTGGGGTCTGTGAGGATGGCCCACAGGGAAGGCTCCTCGGAGGATCCTGGGGCAGGCGGCGGGGAGGGTGAGGGGCACTCACTTGAGAGGGTACATGCGGAGGGCCACGTCCATCCCAGGGCAGTAGGACAGGAAGGCGGCGAGCGCCGTCTCCTCAAACAGCCCGAAGATCAGGATCTTGTTCCTGGAGGCACAGGCAAGGCTGGACATGACCCGGCCCCCAGCCCCCCAGGGACAGGCACAGCCAGAGGTGGACGGAGACAGACAGACAGCCCCGGGCTCACACGGACAGAGCGACGAACAGGGAGACAGAGAGATGGCAACAGAAGAAAGGCAGACCGACAGAGACAGCAACACCCAGACAGGCGTGGAAGGGGGACCCCAAGTGACCCCCTCACCCCCCCAATACACACGGAGGGACAGATGGAGAGAATCCACGACAGATGTGACCACTTGAGAGGAAATCACTCAGGGGTAAAGACAGACACATGGATGGGACAGAACAGAGCCTCGTGCCGCCGGCCCTCACTTCATGCCCTGCTGGAAGACCGAGTTCCTCCGGGTCTTGCAGATGATCAAATCGGCCCACTGGACGACCACGATGCTCACGAAGAAGGCCGTGTGGCACGTGAACTCCACCACTTTCCTCTGCTCGTACGTCTGCAGGAGCGATGACAAGCGTGCGGGGCGGCAGTCAGCCCCAGCCCGGGACCCACGTGCCCCCCCACCCCCGGTCTGTGCCCCCTGCACCAGCCCCAGGGCAGGTGGGGGCTCCGTCCCGATGGGGCCTCCCCTCTGTGGCTGGTGGGACAGGGCATGGCCAGAGGTCACGAGCACCTCGGTGGGCTGGGCCAAGGGCGCCAGGAGGCCCAAGCCCCAGGCAGGGGTCTCGATGCTGCTCCTGGGGCAGAGGGGTCGTCCTAGGAAGCAGCCCCCCATGGCTGGGACAGCGGACGGGAGCTCCTGCCTGCTGTGGGCAGAGGTGACTGGGACACCCCCCAAGTGCTGCAGGGCCCACCCACTCACCCACTGCTGCCCGTAACTGTCCTCCAGGTCATTGACGGTGCGGTCGTCCCAGTTCAGCCGGATGCCCACCAGGTTGCTGGGCAAGAAGCCATTTTCCGCCAGGATCACGAAGTAGGAAAAGAAGCCGCCGAGAGCCTGGATCATCCCTGGAGGGGGGAGGAGATGAGGAGAGGCTCAGGTCGGGGCCAGCAGCCAGCCCAGTGCACCTGGGAGGCCCTGTGAGACTCCCACTGGGAGCTGGTGGGGAGGCTACCTCAGAATGCACTGCAGAGCATCATCTGAGGCTGGGCTCCCGGCGGGCCACCTGAGAGCGCCACCTGGTGGTGAGCACCTGCCATGGGCCACCTGGGACAGGAGCCTCGGGGAAGGGACTCACCTGGAGGCTCTCCCCCACCTGACCCAGGCCACCTAAATAAAACCCTGGGAACCCCCCAGGTTTTGGTCTGACAGGCTCCCCGATGTAGGAATGATCTCACCGGGCCTCTGACCACCACCATTGAAGCTTCTGCTTTCTGGGACACTCCCAGCAATGGGGAGCTCAGCACCTCCAAGGCTCTGCACGTGGCACCCCCAGCAGCAGGGTGAGGAGGAGGTGGGACGGGATGGGGGTCACTCCTGCCCTCAGAGTGCTCACGGGCTGATCTTGTCTTGTCCACCATGGAGGGGGATTGAGCAGGGGGCTCTGCAGTGGCCAGCCTGGCGCCAACCCTGATCTGCCACTTGGTGTCCCATGTGCTCCTCAGGTGCACCCCCAGGCCCATCCTCCACCTGTCCTGGCCCTGCCTTGGGGAGCACTACCCTTCTGCAAGTCACTCCTCCCAAACCTCCAGCACCAAATCCTGCTTTCAGCCCACTCATCCAACACAAGGTTCCAGAGTACCCACTATGGGGCAGGCACTGGGCATCCACCCATAAACCAGGTGGGGTCCCCCCGTCCTCACCAATCTGCCCATAGGCCATGCTGATGAGCCTCTCATTGACCAGCTTGTCAGTACGTGGGTTCCTGGGCTGTCTCTTCATGATGTCACTCTCTGCAGCCTCGTATGCTAATGAGATGGCAGGGACCTGGGCGGGAGAGGCCATGTGAGCAGGAAGTGGGGGGCCCTCCCCTCCCAGGCCCCAGAAGGTGGCTGGGGCTCACCATGTCAGTGCCCAGGTCGATACAGAGGATGGTGATGGTGCCCAGAGGCAGTGGGATGTTGGCCATGATAAACAGCAAGAAGGGTGTGATCTCAGGGATGTTGCTGGTCAGGGTGTAGGCAATGGACTTCTTCAGGTTGTCAAAGATCAGGCGGCCTGAGGCAGGGGCAGGCTCAGATCCCATCCCAGGCACCCTGGCGCCCTCCCCTTCCCTGCCCAGTCTCCGAGTCCTTTCCAATCCACCCTCCCACCTGTCCACCTTCCCGCGCAAACATTCAACCATGGCACCCTGTTCAAACATTCTTGGAATATAGCCACTTGGGAAGACCATTTGGCAGTTTGTATTAAAGTTAAACACCCCCCTACTCTATTGACCCGGTAATCCTACTCCTAGGAGTGTTTATGTCCACCAAAAAGCAAGTACGAGAAGGTTCACCATAGCATTAGCCCCCATCGCCAAAACCCAGAACTGACCCCAATGCCCATCAGCATGGAAGTAGATAAATGAACTACGGTCCTTCCATATAACAGAATACCACTCAGCAAGAAAAAGGAACGAGCTACTGCCCACCCAACTCCATGGATGAATTTCACAGATGTCATGTCGAGTGAAAAAAGCCAGACACAAAAGCACTCATATCGCATGACTCCATTTAGATGAGGTTCAAAACTATTGTATGGAGCTAAAAGTCAGGATACAGTTTATTTCTGGGAGGGGAGCTATGGGCCGGAGGGAACCTGACGAAACCCTAATGGGGCTGGAAATGTCCTTTATCTCGGTTGGGGTCTGGTGGTTGCGTGGGTATACACGTGTAAAAATTCATCAAGCTGCCCAGCTTACTGTGCACATGTCATATCTCAATATGAACTCAATCAGCCCAGTGTGTATAGAGTAAAAAGAAGCTAGGGGCAGCTGGGCAGCTCAGTCAGTTAAGTGTCAGGTCATGATCCTGGAGTCCAGGGATCAAACCCCACATCGGGCTCCCTCTCGGTGGGGAGCCTGCTTCTCCCTCTGACTCTTCCCCCTCTTGTGCTCTCTCTCTCTCTCTCTCTCAAATAAATAAAGAAAATCTTTAAAATAAAAAAAAAAGAAGCTAAAGATTAACCGAGCCAGCACCGCCTCCCACCCTCCCGGGTGTGCTGAGAGGCATGAGCAACAAGATAATGTCATTCATGTGGAACAGAAAGGCAGGCTGCACGGTGGTACGAATGGTCTGATCACCTTTGTGTAAAAGTAAGACCCACTCTTTCCTATTCCCTCAGTGCATCCTCTGCCTTTCACAAACTGCTGGTGTCTCTTCCTAAAGTATTCATGGAGGAAATGATGATTGAAATGCGCTTCAACATAATCCAGGGTGTATGTTGAGATGAAACAAGATGGGCCATGAGTGGTGATGGAGCTGGGGGATGGGGACGTGGGGGTCCACTGTGCTCTTTGCTCTGCGGTATATCTAGAATTTCCCCTACTGGAAGTTAAACTTTGTGGTTTTTTTTTTTTTCCCCACCTCCGAGAGGCCTGCCTTGCCCACCCTTATCTGGGAATGACCATGGTTATTATCTATCACGCATGGCACTTGTTGGCTTCTCAGCACTTGCCACAATTTACAATTATGTTTGTTATGTTATGATTCATTTGTTAACTTGTCTAAAGCTGCCCCTCCCAGCTCCTGGAGGGAAGGGACCCTGTCTGCTCTGCTCACGACTCTCTCTCCAGCACCAGGCAAGAGACACAAGGTAGCAGCCCAGTGCATGTCTGGAAGGTGTGACCGGTGTGTCCGTAAGAGTGTGCATTGCATACACATAGATGTCTTGGGGAAGGAGAAAGGATTAACCACGATGTCTTCTGGGACAAGGAGGCAAGGGATAAGAGCATTTAATTTGTCACTTAAGGCTCTCTTTTATCATGCATTATTTTTTTACCCTGGGGACATTTCAACTGGGAGAGAGAAACTGGAAGAAAATGCACCACAGCATGAATAGTGATTATTTCTGGATGGTGAGGTTATGGGTGATTCCAATTTTCTTCTTGATGCTTGTCTATATTTCCTATAATTATCGGGAATTGCTTTGATGATCAGAATAAAATTAAATGTGAACAAGCTCCATCTGTGGCCACATCAAGGCCCATCAGGAGGCGGCGGTGCCCGCCGGCTCCTCAGTCTGGACTCAGTGTTCCCGGCCCCAGACACCAGGTCCGGCCCCACACACGGGCCCCCTCACACACCCTGCCTGTGCACGCTCTGTCCCTCTGCCCACAGCTCCCTCCCCTGGCACCCCTCTACCTGAATATTCCAACTCAGCCCTTGGGACTCCACATAGTGATTCCTATCCACTCTAGAAGCTTCCTTTGCCCCCCTGACCCCAGGTTGGGTGAGGGGCCCCCACAGGGCTCCCGAAAGGACCCTCAGCTTCCCCATGGTTGCACCTACAGGCATTTTCAAAATGCTTCTACGTCTGCCTCGCCTGCCAGACTGGGCCCCAGAAGCGCGTCAGCTCAGCCCTGCCCCCAGGGAGCTCCCAACCCCACTGGGCAGAGGAAGACTGGAAAGGACAAGCTGCAGGCTCCACTGGGGCTCGGAAGGGTTCTGGTGTCTTCCTACCATGCATTCCGCCACAGCCCTGGCCAGTTCCTCTTGCCCTTCTTGGGGCCTCCGGCAGGAACCCCAGTCTCCAGGGCCTCCCCGGCCAACTCACCCTCCTCCACACCCGTGACAATAGAGGCAAAGTTGTCATCCAGCAGAATCATGTCCGCTGCCTGCTTGGACACGTCTGAGCCAGCAATGCCCATGGCCACGCCGATGTCAGCCTTTTTCAGGGCGGGGGAGTCGTTCACACCATCCCCGGTCACAGCCACGATGGCTCCCTGCAGGGAGAGGGGGTGAGGATGACGCCCAGAGGCCCGGCCCCAGCCCCGTCCTCCAAGGGGGCCTCAGCCCAAGCGCACCTGTCTCTGGCAGCCTTCCACAATAATGAGCTTCTGCTGGGGGGATGTGCGGGCAAAGACGATCTCGGTGTGGTTCTGCAGGATCTCATCGATTTGCTCCGAGGTAAAGTCCTTGAGATCGGTGCCATGGATCACGCAGGCCTTGGCATCCCTGGGAAGAGCAGAGGGCTGGTCAGGGCATATGGGGATTCATGGACAGACAGCCAGGCAGGCCGAGCCCACAAACAGGAGAGGCAGGAGGACTGGGCTCTGAAACTGAGGCTCAGGAGGTGTAAGTGACTTGCCCAGGTTCACACAGCTCGTGAGCAGGGAAGCTCAGATGCAGCCCTTCCCCACGCTGCCCGTCCTCACATGTGGAGGAGGCGTGGCACCCAGGTGCTGAGAGCCGAAGGAAGGTGGACAGGCCGTCCCGGAGGAAGGCCGGAGTTGGGGGGGGGACGGGCCTCACCGGGGGTTGACCTGGCTGACGGGAATGTTGAGCCGGGCAGCAATGTCCTCCACTGTCTCGTTGCCCTCGGAGATGATGCCCACGCCCTTGGCGATGGCCTTTGCCGTGATGGGGTGATCACCCGTGACCATGATGACCTGTGGGCATTGTTCGGGGATGGTCCAGCCTCACCGCCGGCCCCCCAGGGGGCCCCGCCGCCGCCTCCCCGGCTGCCCCAGGCCACACCTTTATGCCAGCGCTGCGGCACTTGCCCACTGCGTCGGGGACGGCCGCCCGGGGCGGGTCGATCATGGACATGAGGCCGACGAAGCAGAGGTTGTCCGTGGTGAAGTTCACGTCGTCGCAGTCGAAGGCAAAGCCCTTGGGGAACTGCTCCTCGGGCAGGTAGTAATGGCAGAAACCTGATGGCAGATGGAGTGAGGGCATGAGGGCTCCAGCCTCAGACGGCCACCCTCCCCGCCCACAGCTCTTGGCCACCAGCGTCCCTGTAGTCAGGGCAGCCCCAGCCGGGGGCGTAGTCTGTCAACATTCATCCCCTAAAGATGGCTTCCCCTCTCGTTCATACACACACTCGCTCATTCATTCATTCATTCATTCATGATGCATTCTGGGAGGGCCTATTCTGAGCCAGGCTCCGGACAGCCTCACACCCCTCCAAACCCTCAAGGGCTCCCCCACCAAGTCAGCCCCACCCGAGGTACGCACCCAGCACACGCTCGCCCAGGCCGCCGAGCTCCAGGTAGGCGTTCTGGAAGGCCTCTTTCATCTCCTCGTCCAGGGGCTGCTCCTTGCCCTGCAGCAGGATGGTGGAGCAGCGGTCCAGGATGCGCTCGGGGGCGCCCTTCATCACCAGCAGGTACCGGTTGTCGTTGGGGTCCTCAGTCTCGTGGATGGAGAGCTGTGGAGAGGGTGGGGGGCGGGCATGCCTGAGCCTCGGCGGGACCCAGCTGGGGGAGGGGATGGCCCCCACCCTCCGCCCAGAGGCATGGGAGCCAGGACAGACCACAGCTGGGTCTCCCCCAGAATGCAAAACTCTCTGCCCCAAACTCTCTACCCAAGAGATCTCCATCTGGTTCTCAAAGTCTCTCCCAGGGATCCCGGCTCACCCCTGCCCATTTCTGTCTCTCCATCTCACAGATGTTTCTGCCCATGGGGCTCGCTCACAAAAATCATGGACATCCCTAGGGTACATGGCCCTCTCCCTGCCTCACCCGGCTTCCTCTCATCCCACATCTGACCTATCACCAAATCTGCTCAGCTCATCTCTCAAATACACCCAGATTCTGACCTCTTCTCACCTGCCCCCCTGCCCTCCCCGTCCGGCCACCCCCATCTCTCGTAGGGAATATCACATTGAGTCTCCGTGTCTGCCCTCCCCAGCCCATAATACTTCCTCCCCACAGCAGCCAGGAGGATCCTTTAAGAAATGTGAGTGAGTGGAAAATGGGGCAGCCACTTTGGCAAATAGTCTGACAGCCCCCCAAAAGGCTCCAAGGAGAGTTACTATATGAGCCAGCCATTCCCAGGGACACACACACCCGAGACACACAAAGTGTGTCCACACAGAAACGTGTGTGTGAAGTTCCCAGCAGCATCACACGCAGTAGCTCAAAGGGGCGAATGACTCAAAGGTCCGTCAGCAGATGAAGGGATCAACAAACTGTGGACTGTGCAGACAACGCAACATTACCCGGCCACAGAGAGGTCCGGAGTACCAACACACACCACAACGTGCGTGAATGGACCTTGAGAACATCACACGAAGTGAAACACGCCAGTCACAAAACACCACGTATCGTAGGATTCCATTTATATGAAATGTCCAGAATAGGCCAACGCATAGAGACAAGAACGTAGATGAGTGGTTGCTTAGGAATCAGACGAGATGGGGGAGGAGGGGGAAAAGAGCTAAGGAGTGTGAGGCTTCTTTTTGACGTGATGGAATGTTCCATAACTGTGGAGCTGATTGCACGTATCTGTGAATATACCAAAATGCTGAATTACGCACTTTATGTGGGTGATCTATGATATATGAATTATATCTCAGTGAAACTCTTTTTAAAAACATGAGTCAGGTCCCATCTCTCCTCCGCACAGAGCCCTCCCGTGGCTCGTGTCCCTCTTAAAAGTCCACACCTGAGTCTTCTCCACGGCCCACGAGCCCAAGAGGACCTGGCCAGGTACCCAGTGCCCTTACCTCCAGCACACTCCCTGGCTCCCTGCTCCACCATCCTGGCTGCCTGGCTGTTGTTCAGACACATCAGTACACTCCTGCCTCAGGGCCTTTGCACATGCTATGCCTACTGCCTAGAACACCCTTGCCCCAGACACCTGCAGCCAGCATATTCTGTACTTCCTCATGCTTTTGTCATCATCTGTCTTCTAGCACTAGACTGTGCATTCCATGTCCACTGTTTCACTCACTGCCAAAGGTACCCCAGCACCTAAAACATGCTCCTGACATGCGGTGGCTGCTCAAGCAAATATCTGTGGAATGAATGAGAGCTCTCCGGTGGGTCCCCACTCTCTGCTATAGGAAGATCTTTATTCCTCTGCCTCCCACTCCGGCAGAGACCTTGCTCTCACTCCCTGGGTCAGCCTGTTCCTCACCTAACCAGGCGGACACTATCATTCCCATTTCACAGATGGTGAAACCAAGGCTCTGGAAGGTTAGTAACTTGTCCAAAGTAAGGGGGGCAGTGGGGCAGAGGTGACCGCTTACAGGCACAACCGAGACACTGAGGGCCAGGCTAGCTCTCCTAGACAGCCCTGGAGTACCTGGTATTTGTTGGTGGAATTGAAGGGAATCTCAGCCACTTTCTTGTTACGTTCGCGCATCAGCTTCACAGAGCCAGACGACAGTTCGATGCACTTGAGCAGGGCGGACTCAGAGGCATCCCCGGCCACATCCCTCTGGGGGTACAGAGGGCCGTCAGAGCAGAGCAATGGCGGTGGCCACGGGCAGGGCCGAGGCGAGGGGGGCAGCTGGACCCACCTTGAGCACAGGGATGTTGTCCTGACCTCCCTTGAAGACGGCGCGGTTGCAGAGGCCAGCGATGTGGGACAGGGCCACCCAGGTGTGCGAGCTCTTGTCGAACGAGGTTCCTGAAGGAGGCACATGTCCCCTGTCACAGCGCCTCAGGGCCAGACCCCCTCGGTCCCCGCCGGGGCCCCACCCTCACCTGACTGGTCCTCCGTGGTGTCGGCCTCGTGGATCTGGTTGTCAAACCACATGTGGGCGACCGTCATGCGATTCTGGGTGAGGGTCCCTGTCTTGTCTGAGCAAATGGTAGATGTGGAGCCCAGGGTCTCGACAGCCTCCAGGTTTTTCACCAAGCAGTTCTTCCGAGCCATGCGCTTGGCTGTCAGCGTCAGACACACCTGGGGGGGGGCGCAGCGGGGGCGGGCCAGTCATGGGGACCGCCGGGCGACAGGCTTACACCAGCGACGAGAGCGCCCGCGACCCACCCTGGGTGGCCCATCCAAGGAAAGAGCGCTGCCCCCGAACACCAAGCAGCAACAACACAGACGCACACACAGAAGAGTGTTGCTGTCCGGCAACTCCATCCCAAGGCACAGACCAACAAAAGTGGGCTCGGATGCGCCCCCAAAGGCAGCTACTGTTCTGGGCACAGCAGCTTTCTTCCTAATCGTCCCGAACGAGAAACAATGTCTACTAACAGCAGAAGGGGGAAATAAACCGCAGGGGGGAAAAGGTGGCATGATACACAGCAATGGGAAAGAGCAGGCTCCTGCTTCTTGCACCTTCAAGGATGAAGTTCAAGAACATCGTGTCCAGCATAAAACTGAGCCCGAAGCAAGGGTTTGGACTCAATTATTCCGTTGCTATGCAGTACGGTGATGCTGCTGGAAGCCAGGGTAGGGGTAACCTTTGGGTTGGGGGGAAGAAGCCGGACAAGGTCTGGAGGGGGTTTCTGGGGAACTCAGTCTGCGTGCCGCCCACCTGCACGCGCCCAGACTCACAGCCGGGGCGTCCAAATGCGTGACCCCACATCTGTAAAAAGCCTTGGACCTACCCTGGCTTTGCACATGCTAATGGGGAAAATGCTGCAGGAGATATTAAGTAAAAAGAATCAAGCAGCAGAAGAGAATTCCTGGGACGATCTGGTCTATGTACTGTCAGCGCTGAGCCACAGGCTGGAATACGCCCACACCTGCCCGGGAGTGGTGTAGATGATGCACTTCTGTGGTGGGGCTGACCGCTGGTCAGCAGGGCAGGGCGGGGGCATTATTTTATTTTATTTTTTAACTATTTTAATCTATTCTTTAGACTTTTTACCATGAGGGTGCACTTCCTTTTTTTTTTTTTTTTTTTTTTTAAGATTTTATTTCTAAGTCATCTCTATACCCAACGTGGGGCTTGAACTCACAACCCCGAGATCAAGAATCATGTGCTACACTCACTGAGCCAGCCAGGAGCCCCATGAGGGTGTACATCTTAATTGTGTAAGTTAACTTAGACAGTGGTAGGACTGACGGGGCGCCTGGTGGCTCAGTCAGTTGAGCCTCCGACTCTTGATTTTGGCTCAGGTCATGATCTCAGGGTCGTGGGATCGAGCCCTGTGTCGGGCTCTGCGCTAAGCAGGGAGTCTGCTTGGGATTCTCTCTCTCCCTCTCCCTCTGTCCCTCCCCCTGCTCACTTACTCCCTCCCCGCCACCTCTTTCTCCAAAAAAAAAAGAAAGAAAAAAAAAAAAAAAAGAAAGAAAGAAAAAAAAAAAGAACGTGATAGGCTGTTAGCCCTTCATGCTTTGCAGCGTGCCCCAAGATTTTTGTTTGTTTCGTTAAGAAGGCCTTCTGAGGGCGCCTGGGTGGCTCAGTCGTTAAGCGTCTGCCTTCGGCTCAGGTCATGATCCCAGGGTCCTGGGATCGAGTCCCACATCGGGCTCCCTGCTCAGCAGGAAGCCTGCTTCTCCCTCTCCCACTCCCGCTGCTTGTGTTCCTGCTCTTGCTATCTCTGTCTCTGTCAAATAAATAAATAAAATCTTTGAAAAAAAAAATTTAAAAAAAAAATAAAAAAAAAAAAAGAAGGCCTTCTGAGTCCCCAGACCCAGTCATTCAAGACCCAGGAGGCTCATCCCTCAGTGTGCCAGCTGTCCTCCTCAGGACCGTGGCAGTCAGGCCCCCAGCCCCCGCCTCCCTCAGACGTGGGGGTCTGGGCCTTACAGTGACGGTGGCCAGCAGGCCCTCTGGGACATTGGCCACAATGATGCCGATGAGGAAGATGACAGCCTCGAGCCAGGTGTATCCGAGAATGAGAGACAGGATGAAGAAGGAGACGCCCAGGAAGACGGCCACGCCGGTGATGAGCTGGATGAAGTGCTCGATCTCGATGGCGATGGGCGTCTTGCCCACCTCCAGGCCTGAAGCCAGCGTGGCAATGCGGCCCATGACAGTGCGGTCACCCGTGGCCACCACCACGCCGCGAGCCGTGCCTGGGGGGCCAGAGCGGGGTAGGCTGAGCTGGGGATGGGGTCTCGGCGAGGTTCGGGGAGCCCCGAGCCCCAGACGCACATCCCTCGGTCTGGACCAGCCCTGCCCCAACATGGGTGCCCCCACCACACCCTGCCGCACCTTCCACGCAGTTGGTAGAAAAGAAGGTAATGTTCCGAGTCTCCAAGGGGTTGTCATGTGTGCAGTCAGGAGAGCGGGTCTGAGGTTCCGATTCGCCAGTCAGGGAGGAGTTGTCCACCTGAGGGTGGGTGAAGGGACAGAGGGCTCAGCCCTGGGGTCAGGGAGCACTTGTCCAGAGGACATGGGGCTGAGGCTGTATCCATGGAAGCCATAAGGAGAGGCCTGGACACCTGGGTGAAGGAGTGGTGGCCGGTGGGCTAGAGGTTGGGCTCTTGAAGGTGGGAAGCAGAGGCTTCTTGCCAAGGTCTAAGGTATTGATACATCTGGGGGGTGGGGACCAGGGGTCTGGACTCCTGGATCCTGGCGAAGGTGGAGCTGGGGCCTGACCCATGGGTCTGAGGAAAGAGGGGGGCAGGGCCCTGGATTCTTGGGTCTGAGGGAGGAGAAGGCTGAGGGCAAGACTTCTGGGTTTGAAGGAGGGGAGGCTAAGCGTCCAGACCCCTGGTCTGAGGAAGGAGAGGGTTGGGGGTCTGGACCCCTGAGTCTGAGGGAGGAGGGGGCTGGGGGCCTAGGCTCCTGAGTCTGAGGGAGAAGGGTGCTGAGGCCTAGAGCCCTGGGTCTGAGGGAGGAGGGGGCTGGGGGCCTGGACTCTTAGGTCTGAAGGAGGAGGGGGCTGGGAGCACGATTCCTGAATCTGAAGGATGGGGGCTGGGGGCCTGGACTTCTGAGTCTGAAGGAAGAAGGGGCTGAGAGCCTGGACCCCAGAGCCACTCCAGGAAGGACAGAGCTGGGCCCCAGGTCCCGGTCCCACCTTGCAACCATGGGCTGAGATGATTCGTAGGTCGGCCGGGACTCGGTCTCCACCCTTGATCTCCACCAGGTCCCCGACCACCACCTCCTCAGCGTTCACCTGCATCTTCTCACCCTCTCGGATCACCAGGGCTTGCTGGGGGCCGAGTGGAGAAGAGTCAGTGCCCCAGCTCTCCGCCTGGGCTTGGATGGCACACCTCACCCCCAACCTCCTACTCCCACCTGACCCCTTCCGGGACCCCCCTTCACCTGGGGAACCATGTTCTTGAAGGACTCCATGATCTTGGAGCTCTTGGCCTCCTGGTAGTAGGAGAAGCAGCCGGTGATGATGACCACAGCTGCCAGCACGATGCCCAGGTACAGCTGTGGGGGGGACACAGGGTTGTACCTCAGAGCTGCTCCCTACCAGCCTCACCCCGAGATTTGCGGAATCCGGGAAGGGAACTCTGAGTCAACAGGAGCTGGCGGGGGGGGGTCGGTATTTATGTGTCTGACCCCAGGTTTTGTCTACTTGAGGGTCCGTGTGTCCTTCTGCCTGTTCATGTTTGGGTCCCTCTTTCCGCACATGGGGTATGTTTGAGCTCTAGGTCAGCCCATCTCTCGATTTTGTGTGTCCACCTGTCTGTCTTTCTGCCTGAGTTTGAGAATCTGAGCGTATGCTATTATCTGTCCACATGTCTGTCTACGCTTAAGTCAGTGTGTCTGTCTGACAGTCTGCATGCCTGGCTTTAAATTTATGGGACTGTTTGTGTTTGAGTCTCTGTGTGGATCTCTGTCTGTCTCTCTCTGCCTGGGTCTGAGACTCCGTGTCTATCTGCCTATTTGAGTTTTAATTTTTTTTAAGTTTTATTTATTGGGTAATCTCTACACCCAATGTGGGGCTCGAACTCACAACCCCAAGATCAAGAGTCGCACACTCCTCCGACCGAGCCAGCCAGGCACCCCGGGTTTTAATGTCTGGGAATACGATCTGTCCGTGCTTGACTTGCAGGTTTGTCTGTCTGTCCCCAGGCTAGGCCTGCAGCTCTGTGTATGTCTGAGTTCCTGTGTCTGTCCGTCTACATCTGTGTCCGTGGTTGTGTCTGAACTAGGCGACTGTGTCTGAGTCTGTGGCAGGCGTGACGGTGTTGAGTCTACGCGTGTGCGCATGTGCAAGGATCTCCACGTGGTCAGGGTGCGGGTCTGTGTTTATGCGCACGTGTCCCCCTGCACTGGGGGATGGGTCCTGACAGATCAGTAGCTGGATGTCTGGCTCTCTACACCAGAGTCCTGACTTTTGCGGGAGGATCTTTCAGGCCATGACCACCTGGTGGTGCCTGTCCCCAAGGCCACTGAGATCACAAAGCCTTGGGACAGAGCCTCAGCTCACACACCCCACATGGCACACAAGTTACTTGGCTTTGCTTTTATGCAGGTCCGATGACCCAGCTGGAGAGTGGGCTTTCAGAAGCCGGAAGGGGCAGGAGAAGCGGGGCGGGGTTTGCGTCCCTAAGTGTCCCAGCCCTGGTGCAGGGCAGGCTGGAGGGCACTCACATTGTCGCCCGAGGGGTCGTCCTCTGTGCCCGCCTGGATGCCATAGGCCAGGAAGCAGAGGATGGCTCCAATCCACAGCAGGATTGAGAAGCCCCCAAAGAGCTGGCGGCAGAACTTGACCCATTCTGGAGTGGTAGGCGGTGGTGTGAGCGCATTGGGCCCATCCCGGGCCAGGATCTCTTGGGCTTTGCTGTGGGTCAGACCCTGGGGGACACAGGACTCACACAGGACCCTCCCTGAGCCAGCCTGGCACCCCAATGCTTCACAAGCACCCCAGGCACCCAGGACTCAGGCCCCCAGCCCCTCCTCCCTCAGACCCAGGAGTCCAGACTCCCAGCACCTTCCTCCCTCGGACCCAGAAGTCCCGGGCCCCAGCTCCCTCCTCCCTCAGACTCAGGGGTCCAGGCCCCCAGCCCCTCCTCCCTCAGACCCAGGAGTCCAGGCCCCCAGCCCCTCCTCCCTCAGACCCAGGAGTCCAGGCCCCCAGCCCCTCCTCCCTCAGACCCAGGAGTCCAGACTCCCAGCACCTTCCTCCCTCGGACCCAGAAGTCCCGGGCCCCAGCTCCCTCCTCCCTCAGACTCAGGGGTCCAGGCCCCCAGCACCCCCTCCCAGAGGTGCTCCTCCTTCGGGCCCAGCCGCACCTGCACGCAGTCCGTGTTGTATTTCCGGCACACCTCTTCCACCGACATCTTGTGCTCTGTCTGAGGAACAAGAGTTTGGGGGGAGGCAGTGAGAACCAAGGCCTTTCGGGGGCTGGGCCAGGACCTGAGAGCATGAGGCCCATCCCCAGCCACATCTCCACTCTGGGAGGGTGTGCGGGCACGAAGGGTGGGGCTTACCATAGCCACCTCCTTCTTGAGGTCATCCAGGTCCCTGCGCTCTTTGGTGCCCTTGCTTTTCTTGGGCGAGCCCTTGTCATCTTTCTTGTCCTGCGAGGTGGCGACACGATAGCTGTCAGAGCCACCAGACTGCGGGCGAGAAGGGGTTACAAGGGGGACACTGGCCCTCCAGGCCCCACCCTCACCCTGGCCTGCCTCCTCATCGCATCAGGCAGGGGCTGGCTCTGGGGGTCGCGGTCTGTTCGCCAGCACCTCCCTGTCTCTGCCCCGTGTCTCTGGGTGGTTGTCTCTCAGAACCCGTGGGTCTCGTCTCTTTGATTGGCCTCACCGTCTCTGGTGCCGTGTTATCTCTGGGTCTCTGTCCCCGAGGGTCTCTGTCCGGGTCTGTCTGTGCTTCTGTCTCTCTCTCTGTTTCTGTGCCTATCTCTGGGGCTCTCTCTCCTTCAGTCATTTGGTGTCTCTTTGTCTCTGTGTATGTCTCTTCCTCCCTCTCCCTGGGCCTGTCCCAACTCCCCGAGTGTCCGTCTCTTGCTATGTCTGTCTTCCTCTGTCTCTGGAGCTGTCTCTCGAGGTCTCTGTCCCCTTCTGTCTTATTGTTCTTTTTTGTCTCTCTGTCTCCTACCTCTTTATCTCTCCATCTCTGTCTCCCTGCTCTATCTCCTTCATCTCTTTACGTCGTCTGTCTCTGCCTCTGAGTCTCTCCGCATGTGTCTCTGCATAATTCTGTCTGTCTGTCTGTCTGAACTCTGGCTCTGTAGGTCTCTCTGTCTCATACAATGTCTGTCTGCATCTCTTGAACCATCTCTCCCCACGTCTGGCTGAATCTCTCTCTGGGAGAGTCGATGTGTCTCGGGATCTCCGACTGTCTCTGAGTGTCGGGATTTCTGCCTCCGTGTCTTTCCCCGTCCTGCTCTCTGCCTCTCTCTGTCATGAGTCTCTGTCTTCAACTTTCGAGCTGTGTGTGTCCTCCTCTAGAATGCTTGGCGTGTCTCTCCCTCTCTGCCTCTCCTGTTTTAACCGCCTTGTCTATCTCTGGCTGTCTCACTCTGACCTGTCTGTCTCAACATTTCAGTCCTTCCAGCTCCAGGTCTCCCTGCCTCTGTCACTCTCCCCGTCTTCTCTCCCCGGCTCTTTTCCTGGGCCCCTTTCCCCAGCCCCATGGGTGTCTCAGTCTCTGCCTCTCGAAGGACGCAGCTAATCCTGGGAGACCCCACAGGCCTGGCAGGGACAGAGGAAAGGGTACTGCAGGTGTGGGTCACAGCTGGGACAAAAGCCCGGGACGCAGCCTACTATGCACAGGGATGGCAGCCTGGCTGGACACACAGCCAGTCCCGAGGGTCTTGACTGACAAGCTGTGGGCCCTGGCCTCTCTCTCGGGGCTTGGTGGCCGCCACAGACAGCTCTGAACAGGGGACGGGCAAGGTCAGGTCTCTGGAGGACAGACTAGGAGCTGGCTGGGATTTCGGGTACAGAAGCCCCAGGCCTGGCCCGAACTGGATGTGGCGTGAGGGGGCGAGGGGGGTTCCAGTCCAGGGGGCTTGGGCAGATGGGGAAGGCAGTGTCCCCGGAGGCTGGCAGGAGGGGTGAGGCGAGGCCAGGTGCTGGAAGAGGGCTGCTGACAGATCCTGCGGGCCCAGGGCCAAGCCGGGATCCCAGGCTCAGGCAGCTCAACGCTAATCCCCTCATGACCTTGTAGCGGGTTGAGCTGCCTGCTGCCGGCCCCCAGACCCAGGGGCTGAGCCTGGGGGTTACTGCAGCCTGGAGGCCCGGGAGCCTCTGAGAGGGTTTCAGAGGGTGGGAGGGGGGCTTGGCCCTGGGCCAGCCCTGCAGCAGCACTGCGTCTGACTCAAAAGCACGGAGGCCTGAGGACAGGCAGGGCACGTCTCCACTCCCTGTGCCAGGAGGGGTCTTACCTGCCCACGGGGGTGGCCCCATGGATGGAGAAATGTGGAGATAGAAGGTCATGGGGTCAAGGCAGAGAAATGAGGGGGAAGGCAGGAGAGGAGAGAGATGGGGGCCTGGCAGGAGTGCGGGAGAAAAACAGCAGCCAACACCTGAAACCTTAGGGAAGGCTGGGAGCCGATGCTTGGAGGAAGCAGGGGCTGGGGGTCTGGACCCCTGGTCTGAGGGAGGAGGGGCTGAGGGCCTGGACCCCTGGTCTGAGGGAGGAGGGGCTGAGGGCCTGGACCCCTGGTTTGAGGGAGGAGGGGCTGAGGGCCTGGACCCCTGGTCTGAGGGAGGAGGGGCTGAGGGCCTGGACCCCTGGTCTGAGGGAGGAGGGGCTGGGGACCTTGGACTCCTGGGGCTGAGGGAGGAGGGGCTGGGGGTCTGGACCCCTGGTCTGAGGGAGGAGGGGCTGGGGGCCTGGACCCCTGGTCTGAGGGAGGAGGGGCTGGGGGTCTGGACCCCTGGTCTGAGGGAGGAGGGGCTGGGGGCCTGGACCCCTGGTCTGAGGGAGGAGGGGCTGGGGGCCTGGACCCCTGGTCTGAGGGAGGAGGGGCTGGGGGCCTGGACCCCTGGTCTGAGGGAGGAGGGGCTGGGGGCCTGGACCCCTGGTCTGAGGGAGGAGGGGCTGGGGGCCTTGGACTCCTGGGGCTGAGGGAGGAGGGGCTGGGGGTCTGGACTCCTGGGTCTGAGGGAGGAGGGGTTGGGGGGGCCTGGATCTCTGGGTCTGAGGGAGGAGGGGGCTGGGGGGCTGGACTCCTGGGTCTGAGGGAGGAGGGAATTAGGGCCAGGACTCCTGAGTCTGATGGAGGAGGGGCTGGGGACCTTGGACTCCTGGGGCTGAGGGAGGAGGGACTGGGGGTCTGGACTCCTGGGTCTGAGGGAAGAAGGGTTGGGGGGCCTGGACTCCTGGGTCTCAGGGGGAAGGGTTGGAGGGTCTGGACCCCTGGGTCTGAGGGAGGAGGGACTGGGGGCCTGGACTCCTGGGCCTGGGGCAGGAGGGGCTGGGGGGGCCTGGACCCCTGGGTCTGAGGGAGGAGGGGCTGGGGGGGCCTGGACCCCTGGGTCTGAGGGAGGAGGGGCTGGGGGGGCCTGGACCCCTGGGTCTGAGGGAGGAGGGGGCCGGGACAGCCCCATCCCTGGCAGGCAAGCCTTGGGTCCTGCGTGCCCTTGCTATGACCAGACTCCCTTGGGGGCGGGCTTCCATCTGTTGGAGGGGGAGCCGAGGCTTTCCCAGTCAAGGCAGGAGGCCCAGATGGGCGCACTGCGGGGCGGGAGCACCTCTGAGGGTGGGGGACACGCCTGTCTCGCTGCAGCGAGTCTCTGCATCTCCTCACCATTTTCCACTGTCCGCCTCCCCCTGACACCCGCCAGCTCACACAGCTTCTGCACCTTGGCCAGCCTCTGGCTCCCCCTCTCAGGGTGTCTGGAGCCTTCATCTCTGAGCATCTCTCTCTCTCCACCTCCCCTTTTGTTCTCTGCCTCCTCCTCCCACCCTTCAAGCTGACTTTGGTCGTCTTTGGATAGGAAATGTCTGTCCTTGGGTCTCCTAATCTCAGACTCAGTTTCTCTCTTTGTCTCTGTATGTCTCTCCATGTCTTTGTCTCACCATGTCTCTGCATGTCTCTCTGACCGTGTCTCTCTTTGTCTCTACGTCTATGTCTCTTTCTCTCTGTCTCTTTCAGAGCATCTCTCTCTGTCTCTGCCTATTTCTTTCACTCTTTCCGTAGGGTTCTGCCTCTCTTTTTGCAACCCATGTCTAAAGCGCCTCTCTTCTCCTGTCTCCTCTTCTTTTCCTAATGCTCCCTGTTCCTTCCCCGGGGCATTAGGTCTCAGTCTCCTCCAATCTGTCCACACCTCCCTCCCTCCATTCCACTTACCTGGAAGCCATCACTGACTCTCACCTCCCCCCCTTCTCTCTCCCAGTCCTCTCCCCTCCAGTTCTTCTCCCCATCCCCCCTCGCCCACCCCAAGCCACAGATCTGCAGCCCCACCCCCCCACCTCCATCCCTGGGCCCATCAGCCTTCATCCGCCATCTTTCTCCCCATCCCTCATATTCCCTCTCCCATCCCGACCCTCTGTCTTCCTCCTACCCAGCCCACCCGCCTCCATCTCCCACTCTCCCCCCATGGCCCCGCCCCAGACACGCAGGGAGAAATCCAGGGCTGCAGAGGGGATCAGGTGGTCAGCCAGGGAAGGAGGCGGCATCTGCTGGAGAGACTCACAGACAGACAAGGACACACGGACACAGAGGCAAGGGCATAGCCAGACATGCACCATACACTCCCCCACCCCCCTACCCCCCACATGTGTACACATGCACCCTCAGCCAGGCACTCAGTCTCGCTGCCAGGCTCTCCTGCTTCTCCCAGCCGCCCCCCCCGCCCCATCAGCTTCCTCAGATTAGGGGATGGACACACACCACAGTCCCAGGCCACCCGCCGCACTGCGGAGCACCCCCCGCCCCCAATCCAGGCCTGGAAGGAGAAAGAGAGGTCATCTGGTGTTCATTCCATAGCCTGCACCTGTCCGCACCCGGCCAGGGAAGCAGAGGGGTTTCAACACCCCCAGACACAAACGCCAGCTCTCAGACACACCCAGACACGAATGCAGACACAACCTGGGCCGCACGGTCGCTGGCAGACGGGGCTGGCAGAACCTGCTAGAGCCCGGAGCTCACACACGCGCACACGCACGCATACGATGGAGCGTGCAACCGCACCAGGGCAGGCAGAGAGGGCCGGTCGGTGCCCCACGGACTCCGCACACAAAGACACGCCAATATACGCCACAGACCACGCGGCCCCAGGCGGCCCCGCGCACACGCTCAACCAGCGGCACAACCAGACGGACGGGCCGGGTCCCGCGGACGTGGCTCCGGAGCCCCCGCCCCCCGCAGACACCCGATGTCGCTGGACCCACAGTGTCGCGCACACGCACGGCCCGGCCGGCCCGAGCACCTACCCCCATCTTGGCGGCTCCGGGGGAGAGGGGCGGGCGGGCAGGCGGGGCGGGGGCCGGGGGCAGAGGCCTCAGGGCGGGCTCAGGCGCGGGCTCGGGCTGGGGGCCTCTGCAGCGCCCGCGCCTCGGTCCGCGCGTCGGTCCTGCCGGCAGCCCTCCCGCACAGAGTCTGCGGCGGCCGCCGCCTCCGCCTCCTCATATGCCCGCGCCCGCGGGGGGGCCGGCGCCGGCCAATCAGGAGCGCCGCCGCCCTGACGGACGGCCCGCGGCCCCGCCCCCGGTACTGCAGCTGTCCTCCCCGCCCCCCAGCCTCCGCAAAGTGGCGGCATGGCCGAGAAGGGGGAGCGCTGCAGAAGGGGGGATCCCGGAGACCCCGCAATGAGGAACCTGGAGACCCTCGCAGTGGGGCGCTGAGGGAGAGAGCGCCCCGAAAATCCCCTCACTGTGGGGGTGTTGCCACAGGGAGAGGGGTGCGCTGGGGGAGGTGGACACCGGGTGGGGGGAAAGCCCCTTAAACCACCAACAATAAAGCGGGGGACACAGCGGACGGGTGGGGGGGCTGGAGACCTTGTGGGGGTGTTGTTCAGGAGGGGGAGCTGGAGGGAGCCTAAGAGGCAAGGAAGATCCTACAGTTCGGAGGGGTGCTGGAGAGGGGAAATGAGCCTTGAGGTCCCTTCGCTAGTGTGCCCCCCCCACACCATGGCAGTTATACAGGGAGACCCAACCGCGAGGGTACGCGGAAGACACATCACAGCCTCACACTCACACACAAGCATCACCCAGATAGCCCAGATGGGGAGGACGCGCACATCCACCACCCCATCACACACCAGCACAGTTTCACCATCACATCCCAGAACACACCAGCGTGGACCCTCACACACATACTACACTACCCCATCACATAACCCCAGAGATTCACCAGCATGTGGAAATAAAATGCACCCCCCATCACACCACAACAGAATTACAATTGCTGTCATAAACGGCCGTGTAGACTGACTCACACCCTCTGAACACTACATCACAGACATGCACATCACACCCTCCACCGCACCTGGCCTTGTACCATTTCACATAGAGACCCACAACCACGCAGCCCGTAAACCCACAGACCAACACGTACCCACACTAGGGACCATCACACACGCACAGGCCTCACACTCCCTCACACACCCCATGAGCCTTTGTGGTCCCTGCTGCAGTCACACAACAGCACACACACAACCACACACACTCCTCCCCAGGGAGCAGAAGTCCACGGGGCACAATTGCCAAAGCGTCACTAATTGTGAATGACAGACAAAAAGGTGCACGCAGACTAACACACAGAACAATAATTCACAGGAACAGATCTCATGACACTGTCCCCCATGCTTCGCACACTACACACATCACGCATTGCAGTGCTAGACACTTTGCTGCACCTGCAAACATGCCCCAGTGCCCCCACCCACATGCCACACACACCCCAGGCCTGCCACATACACACCACACTCCATCCACCACCCATCGAAGCCTGAGCAGTCACAGTCTCTCACCCCCACTCTTTGCTGAGGAACACCTCAGACTTTCCCTGGGGATTATAGAAAGGGCAGAGGGCAAGTGAAAGCCTGTCCCTGTAGCTTCCTCAGAATGCGGGTGTCCTCCCCACCTGTGGGAGTGGAGGCGTGGGGGACACAGGCAAGGGGCACAGAGTGAGCCTGGTGCGCATGGGGGGTGGGTGGTGAAGGTTAAGGGTCTGATTAGGGAAATATGTGAAAGGCTAAAAGCCAGAATGAGACACACACACACAAAAAAGATAAACAGAGAGGAGACAGATTCAAAGCTGAAGAGAGACAAACATGGACAAGGAGACAGGACCCGGGAGTAAAGGGGGACAGGGAGTCAGCTTCCCTGGCTTTCCCCAGCACCCAGAGCCTTGGCCCAATCCTGTACTCTGACCCATCCCCATCCCTCCCTGCTGTCCCTTGTTGCCATGGTAATAGGGAGGCCGACTATGCAGCAAAGGAGGCTGGGCCTGCAGACCTGGCCTGTCTCCATGGAGACTGGGGAAGGGGGGGGAGCCACATCTTCTAGTCCAGGTGGTTGGCCCCCAGATCCCCTCTGCAATTCTGCCCCCTTCCTGGGGGTGTGTGCGGTGGGGGGAGGATCTGTCAACATATTGTCCCTCCCTGGTCTGTTTTTGGCAGGGATGGACCATGGGCAAGGGGGCTGGGGGGACAGAGATGCCTAAAGGTGTTTGGATCCCAGGAGATTTAGGCTCTCTCTGTCCCTGTTCTCCAGTTTGGCTGGGGGAGACCTCGGCCCCCCACACGACACCCCAGATACAGGCTTATGTCCCCCTTTATGCACTCCCTCCTCAACATGAGCCTGGAGAGCCTGATGACTGTGCACCGTGCTCCCAGCGCGAGGCTCTGCGGAAGTTGGGGGGGAGGAGGGAAGACTTAGGAAGGTCACAGGGATGGACAGGGACAGGGGAGCTTGGTGAGAGAGACATAAAGAGAGACTCAGGAGGAGAAATGGACACAGTTCAGAACTAGGTAAAGGCAGATACAAACAGAGAGACTGACAAAGACAGAAACCTGCAAAGACAGATGAGAAAACAGATGGGGGGAAACAGAGCAACAGAATTACTCAGTGAAGGTGACAGAGAGCCACAGGGACATAGAGAGCCAGAGACACATTTGGCAAACTGGGGAGACTCAGAGATAAAGACCAGGGAGATACTCGGAGCAGAAACAGGGAGGGGTGGGGAGACTCAGAAATGGGGAGAGACTTCATAGATCAGCTGCATGGTATGGGGACAGAGAGCTGGAGAGACCAGAAATGTCTGCAATCATATTCTATTCACCTCAACAGACTGAGAGTCTGGCCCAAGGGCAGAGACATTGATTAAAGTCTGTGCAATAGATGTGGGGACAACAGAGACCCTGAGACAAGCTCGCCCCCACACCTGTCCCCGAGGGGCACACACACAGCAAAAGCCAGAGACACAGAAGGGGCCGGGTGGAGACTGGGGGTGCTGTGTACCAGGCAGGGTCTCCTGGACGTGGCCCGCCCAAGCACCACGAAGGCAGGCCAGCCCCGCAAGGGAGACCGGGCAGCGCACGCCAGTCCCCACCAGGCCGGTGCTGAACGGACAGCTCCCGGGTTCCGGCAGCCTGCCCGAGGGGAGGGCCCAGCCTCCCGTCTCCCAGCCCGGTCCCACTCAGTCTGGCTTTCCTCAGCGCTCTGGCCCTCCCCTCTCCATCTAGTTTTCTTTGGCTTCCCATCTCTGTCCCACCTCGATCTCTGCTTCTCTCAGCCCCAGTTCCCCGGGGTCTCTTAACTTCCCTGCTTCATCTGTCTCCCCGCCTGTCTCAGTCTCTTGTCCCCTTCTCCATTCCATCTCACCTAATCACGGTGTCTCCCTCTGCCTCTCCCCCTCCCTCTTGGCCCCCCTGCTAGTCTCTCCCCATCTCTCTCTCTCTCCCCCACCGCTGCCCCATCTCTTCGTCTCTCCCCATCTCTGTCTCCCCCTTCTACTCGGCCTCATTATGGCTCTCGCTGTATGACCTTCACTCGTCCTTTCTCAGCTGCAGTTTCCAATGGAAACCTCCAGCGGGGCGGGGGAAGGCGGGGACAGAAAGCAGACCCACCCCTCTCCCTGCTCAACCAGCCCTGCAGCCACCCCCCCACCCCACTGGGATTTCCCACTTCCTCTCTTGGGGCCTGGGGAGGCACACTTTCAGCAGAAACACGGGGTCACACTCACAGAGTTGAAGACAGCCTCACGGGCGCACATACACACACATGCCCACAATTAAAAAGTCACCAAATCACCCTGGCCCCAGCACACACTTGTCACAGTGTGGCCGCCCCATGCACCGCCACACTGAGCAGTTCACTTACCCTCCCTTCCCCCCAACCCCATCTGGTTTCTGTCTTTCTGTGTCTCTGTTCCCTGGTGTCTCCGCCTCTCCAGATCCCTGCATCTTTCTCCATCTGTCTCAGGGTCTCTGTCACAGCCTCCCTCTGTCCTGAGAGAAGGTCAGTGAGAGGGGCCAGCTGCCAGGGCCTGGGCTGACCTGCTGCCTGAGGGCAGGGCCCAAGGGTGGAGAGAGTCCAGGAGTGACCATCCCGTGTGTGGTTCTCAGCAGACTCTCTGGGGAGCCCAAGCCTTTAATGCCCTCACACCCCCAGGAAATGAGACCCAGCTATCCCCAGTTTTGGGGTTTTGTTCTTTTTTTTATTCCAACAGGGACTGGGGTGTGGCAGGGGGGAGGGATGGGGGCCCAACTGACCTCCTCCCTGGGGGGGTCTCATAGAAATTCCGAGGTTTCTCCCCAAAAAAAAGAGAGAAAGAGAAGAGTTGAGGGGCGCCAGGGGACACCCATCTGCCCAGAAGCCCTCCCCTCCTCCAGAAGTGGGGAGGGCTGTGTCAAGTCTTGGGGAGCCTGAGCAGTCCCAGGATGGGCTCTCCTCGCGGACTGCTTTCCGCTTCTGGAACGGCACCCGCAGTCCCCGGCCCCCTGAAGTCCTCGGTTCCTGCGCTCCTGTCCGCAGTCGGGGGGCGGAGTGCAGGGTCCGCGGCACCCTCTGATGAGTCCACTAGGGGGCGCAGGCAGGCTCCGGAGCCGGGCCTCGGACTTCATCGTGAGCCGAAGGCAAAATTGTGGCGTCCGGCGCACCAGGGGCACAAGTCCCGTCCCTTGTCCACTGGGGAAGCGGGGGCGGCCCGGGCCTGGGGCGGACCCCGTCCCTGCGATCAGTCCGGCCGCCAGCCCGGCTCCGCCCGTGGTCACTCGTGCTCGGCCAGCTCGCGGGGCCCCGCGGGGCCGGGCCGCGGCCGGGGCGGACTGGTGGCTTCGGCGGGGGCGCCCAGGCCACGCGGGGGCGCGCCGGCCCCGGACGCCCGCAGCGCCTGGATGCGCCGGCACTCCTGGCAGACGCGCACGTGGGTGCAGGGCGTGGGGACGGAGGGCCGGGCCCCGCCGGGCGGCCCCGGGTCGTCCAGGAGGCGCTGGGGGCCCCCG